CCTCTTCAATATTTTCCACATTAAGCACATCCATTGGGCAGAAAACTCCAAGGCAGATGAGATGGCTCAATTAGCTTCTGCAGACCAGTCAAACCTCAGCCACGGTGTTCGCCTCGAGTACCTGGTCCACCCTGCCATTTCCCCAAACCAGCAGCAAGTCTACTTCCTCCAAAATGAACCTATTCCATGGGCGGCCGACATCTTTCTATTTATGACAACAGGGGAACTGCAAGACAACAAACAACAGGCCGCCAAAGTCAAGGCCCGATCGTCCAACTACATTCTTGTCAGCGGCCTCTTGTACAAACGTGGCTTTTACGCCCATATCTGCGATGCCTCAATCCAACTTAAGCGACCTACGTGATGAGGGAAGTCCATGAGGGTATATGTGGTAATCATTCGGGTGCCAGGTCACCAGCCCACAAAATACTTCGCACTGGTTATTTCTGGCCTACTCTCAATCAAGATGTGGCTGACTTCGTGCTTAAATATGATAAGTGCCAACATTTTGCCAACATCCCCCATGCTCCTTCTACAGAGTTGATCACACTTTGCAGTCCTTACCAATTCGCCAAATGCGGGATCGACCTAGCTGGCCCATTGCCCACTGGCCGAGGCCAAACCAAATTCGCAATCGTTTGCCATTGATTACTTCACTAAATAGGTGGAAACGGAACCCCTTGCCACAATTACAGAACGGAACACGACCAGATTCATCTGGCAGTCAATCATGTGCCGATTTGGTATCCCTCAAGCCATCGTCTCCGACAACGGTAAGCAATTCGACAATGCCAAGTCCAGGAAATTCTGTGTAGAACTTCAAATCCAGCCATGTTTCTCCTCCCCAGGTTATCCCCAAGCCAACGGCCAAGTTGAGGTTACCAACCGTTCTCTTCTGTAGATCATCAAAACTGAACTAGAAGTTGCTAAGGGACTCTGGGCTGAGGAATTACCAAATGTACTCTAGGTCTACCGCACTACCGCTCGAACCCCCACTGGGGAGACCTCTTTTCGCTTAACATACGACGCTGAGGCAGTCATTCCAGTGGAAATCGGTCTGCCTACCCCGAGGGTTCTACACCTGAATCTAGAACTAACTGAAGAGTTGCGTCGAGCAGACCTAGACCTAATTGAAGAGCTCCGAGAGACCACTGCTGTCAGGCGGGCCTCATACCAACAGAAAATGAGAACACACTACAACCGCAAAGTCCGACCGAGGGAGTTCACTGTGGGGGACCTTGTTTTGCGTGAAGTAACTCTTGCCACCAAAAATCCGGCTGAGGGCAAGCTGGCAACCAAGTGAGAGGGACCTTACGTTGTTAAAGCCAGACCTCATCTGGGTATTTACCGACTTCAGGACATGGACGGCTGAGACTTTCCCCATCCATGGAACGCCGAGCACTTGAAGCGTTATTTTCAATAAAAGCTGTATCTTTTGTATTGATCAATTGCTATATTTTCTTTTTGACAATCTACACACTTGAATGTTCTTGTTCTTCTCTCATATGGTGTAAGTTTCTGATCAAATGGCTACACTTTAAATGACAACAATTTTATATCTCAGTTATCTGTATGGTATTTCAATAACGTCCTGATTGCAGCACTCAGTGAGACTGAGTTACTCAAAGCCTTAGCCAGATTGAGCATGAAAAGCCTCAGCTAGACTGAGCATGAAAGGCCTCAGCCAGACTGAGCATGAAGACCTCAGCCAGACTGAGTTACTTGAAGACTCAGCCAGACCGAGTTAGTCATGGCTCAACCCAAACTGAGCACGAATGAAAAGCTTGGCCAAGGCTGCTCTTGCAACTTCATGATTGTGGCATAGTTGCCATACTTAGTCACATTCCAGGACCATGTTTTTACGTCTCTTCACACTCTTTACATTTTTTAACTTACACTTCCTAACCCAACCTATCATTTATCAACACTCTTACAACATGATTTAAAACTTCACATTTTAGACCTTTGTAGTTCAACGTTTTCCAAGTCAGACTAGCTCCCTGCTGGGTCGTGATTCGAAACTTCACGTTTTTAACATTCTCACATTTTAAACTTCACTTTGCGTTGTGGTTTTCTTACATTTTTAAACTTCACTATGATTTATACACAAGCCCTATGTGAGTCACCATTCTCATCCTTTGCAGATCCACAAACAATAAAGACAATAACATAAAAAAAAACCCAACTCATAATTTTATTTATTCACAAACTTATACATAAGTTTACTACAGAAGTTTCACGCCCAACAAAAAAACAACAAACAAAACAACAAGAAAAATTTCATTTACAAACAAAGTACGAAAATTTTACATTTATCAATCTTCCTTGCTCGACACAAGGTCTTCTTCGTTAACACCTTTGTCTAAGGGGGTCTGGACCACATTGTCTTTATCTATTCTAACACTGTTGAATTCCAAGTCTGGGAACAGCTCTTCTGC